AGGCTAAAATATATTTTTAGTGTTTAATATATAACATGAAATGAATGTTTCATTTCATCGTGAAGTAAGTAAAGGCAATTTATTATGTAATTTAAAGTAATATACTGCTTATTTTTTTTTAACCTTAACTACAATTATATACCACACGAAACAATGAAAAATGTTTGAAAACGTTCCTTAAGGGTGAAGGTGAAGTTCTCTATTATCATTAAAGTAATTTTAGAATCATAAAGACACTCACTGTATAATTTATATCAGTTTGAGAAGTATCTAATTTATGCAGTGGACTTTTTAATTTTAAAAAGTCATTTGCATAGTGTTAGGAATTTCATGATAAAAAGGTATGGTTTTTAAATAACATGGTTTCCTGTAATTTTGAAGAGACATCTGATGACAAACACTTAGTAAAATTGAAATACTAGTTTCTCTCTGCGTTGGGGGGAAGAACTGGATACAGAATAACCTGTGTCAGAGCCGTGGAGCACAGCCCTGCTCAGCTCGCTGTGGCAAATGGGCAGAAGGTTAAGCCATCAGTCCACTTCCCAGTGTCTACTAACAGTGGCTTTCTTTGTGTTGCTTCCCTTGTTAGCGCAATGTAGCGAGTGTTATTGAGAGGTAAGACAAAGCAAGTCTTACATTAGACACTGATGGCTTTTTTAAAAGTTGGAATGGGATGTTATTGAATGTTCCAAAGAGTATCTTGATAGTACATTTTTATGGAAACCACTGTTCCAGAGTAAACTGCATTGGAAAGCAAATCAACATTGAGACATCAGTGATGCTCAGGTAAATATAAATAAATTTTATGTATCTAGTGCTGCACCAGTTTTCGAGAGTAATGTTGTGGGCTGGGGGAGTGATTTTTTGAAGAAAGAACACTTTTTAAAAAATCACCAGCCATAGGTTTATTTTCCTTAGCCACTTAATTGTGGTAGATTTTTATATAGATAAACCTTTTATTCATGAGATGTAACTTTAAGCATAACTTAAAAGGGAAATCAGTTAATATAAGTATAGAATTATTTAGGATCTTTCCTATAATGGCTGCAGAGTATTTCTTGAGCATCCATGCAGATTAGATCTCGAACAGCTGCATGGAGCACACAGAAATCATGACTCCTGCCTCTGAGAACCAACTTGAATAAAGTCTTTCATCTAAAGATCTCACTGTTTGTCTATTTCATGAATCCCTCATCTCATCTCTGAAGAGCTCATTCAGTTTAATACAGTTCAACTTTGTGGTTTAGAGCTCTAGAAATTACTGTTGTAACTTAGAATGCACAAAAAAAGATAAGTTAAAAGTAATCTCAGAATTTTTTAAAGAATTAGATAAAATTCACTCTAAAATGATTTTTTTTCAGAGATTTAGAATGATAACTAGGGATTCTAATTCAAATTTAACTAGTTATGTGATCTTAAATAAATTATGTGTCCTCTTAGTGTCCAGTTTCTCTGTAGTTATAACAAGGCCTAGGAGAGTTAAGAGAGATAAATGTATTGAAATGCTTGTTAAATTCATTTGTTTTATATAAATTTAAAGTGCTGCCATTCTGCCTTCTTAGTCCTTCTCATAGTCTGAGCTTCATATTACATCCCATGTTCTGTACGAAGTGTTCTGCAACCACTTTAGCAGTATTAAACTGGAAAAGTCACTATCATATCATTTACATGTAATTTGTTAAGAAAATGTCAGATATCTTTTCCTCTTCTGGGTACTTATATCACATATTGCCACTTATTTGGCAGTAACCCATGTATTGCCTCTCATTTTATGTTTTTTACTTCTTATTCCTGTCTGTGTGTTATGAGTTCTTTGAATTCAGGGATCTTGACTTATTTGAACCTTCACAGAAATTAATGTATAGCGCCTTCTAAGTATAGAATAAACTTCTGAGATTTTTTGTTTTCATTGCTTTGGAGTATCCACATGTGTGTTCTCTTCCGATAGTAGAGATGGTCAAATCTGACTGTAATTTTACTAAGAAACTTATTTGTTATATTAAAACCAGTTGGTTATAATCTTAGAAATCTGGTATAATTTTTTTTTTCCTTTAAGCCTATGACTATGAGGAACCAGAGAAATTTTAATCCAAACATTTCTAAATCAGAGTAGCAAAAACACAAAAGGAGTTTGGGTCTTATATATTAGAAACAGAGTAATGTAGGTGGCATTTGTATATGCAGTTTGTGAATATTATTGGCATGAACTAAATGCTAGGCCCTCTGCTATAGCCTAGAGACATAGTGATTTAAACAAATGACAAGATCCCTACCTGATGGAGCTTATAGTCAGTAAACAGGCAAAATATATTTAAACCAGACAGTAACAGTGTAATAAGGATTATGCATAAGAAGGGTGGTGTGAGAGGGTGAGCTACTTTGTATTACAGTGATTAGAACAGGCCTTTTAGAGAAAGAAGCAAAGTAAGACCAGAAGGTTAAGGAAGTGCCTGGGCTGTGGTCTCTCAATATGGTTTCTCTCTGAAAGTAATCAGAGTTCTTGGAAAACTAGCTTATTACAGGTCTGGAATAGGAACTGTAAAACAAAACAAAACGAAAACTGTCAAAGTCTATTGGGGTCATAATAAGGGAACCAACTTGGAGGGACTCTCACTGACTACAGGTGTAACACTTGGAGCATCAAAAGAAGAGTGATTGCAATGAATTGAAACACATCTATTATTCAAAGTATATGAGTTTATAATGTTACTTTAAAAATATACTGTTGGGGCTGGCCAGCGGCATAGTGGTTAAGTTTGCGAGCTCCACTTCCGTGGCCTGTTGTTTGCTGTTTCGGATCCCAGGTGTGGACCTATGCACTGCTTATCAAGCCATGCTGTGGTAGGCGTCCCACAGATAAAATAGAGGAAGATGGTCACAGATGTTAGCTTGGGGCCAATCTTCCTCAGCATAAAGAGAGGGATTGGCAGTGATGTTAGCTCAGGGCTAATCTTCCTCAAAAAAAACAATTCGTTGTTCACCTTTGGGCCAATACTGGACAATCAAGTATTTATCTTGCCTTTCCTCTAAGAACTGTACCTCAAGATAACCAAGTAGTTCAGGGGGGATAGTTCTTTAAAAAAGAATTCCAGGGGGCTGGCCCTATGGCCGAGTGGTTAAGTTCGAGCGCTCCGCTTTGGCGGCCCAGGGTTTTGCCAGTTTGGACCCTGGATGTGGACATGACACCGCTCATCAGGCCACACGGAGGCGGCATCCCACATGCCACAACTAGAAGGACCCACAACTAGAATATACAACTATGTACTGGAGGGCTTTGGGGAGAGGAAGAAGGAATTTAAAAAAAAGAATTCTAGCTAATAAATGCAGAAAGAATGATAAACTGTTCTAACAAAATGACATCAAATACCTAGGCAGTGGAATTTTTCACATTTTTCTATATATACTTTTGAATACTTTGTGTTAGGAAATTTAAAAATCAGTTTAAAGGAGGAGCAGTGAGAACTCAGTAGGTAGGAATGGGAATGGGAGGAAGATACTTCATGCAAATAGGAACAGTATGAACAAGGCACAGAAGTGAGAAAATGCTGTACCTATTTCAGGGAAGCGTTAGTAGTTGGCTCCCCAAAGTACAGGATGTGTAAGTGGAAGTATTGTGGACATGCTGTCATATGTGAGTTTTCAGAATACACAGTAGCTGGAAATAGTGAAAGCAAACTATTGCCAAGTTCAGGAAGAATTCGAGGTTCAAAAGAGCTTCTCTACAGTTCCTGCTACCCTTTGGACTCATCGAAATAATGGTAAACAGAAGCATTCAACAATGGATTTAATTAAACCAAATTGATTTGGCAGCAGACCTTGGTAGAAAGGTACCATGTATAGAGTGCAGCATTGATTCTTCTTGGGCAAGCTGTGCTTAAGGTAGGCAGTCCATTAACTAATGTGGTTGTTCTTCATCTCAACATTTTATTTATTCTTTTTGAAGTTGGATGTATAGGGGCTGGCCTGGTGGCATAGTGGTTAAGTTTGTGCACTCCGCTTCAGTGGCCTGGGGTTTCCTGGTTTGGATCCCGGGCACAGACCTACACACTGCTCATCAAGCTATGCTGTGGTGGCATCCCACAGACAAAATAGAGGAAGATTGGTTCAGCCATTAACTCAGCAACAATCTTCCTCACCAAAAAAAATTTTTTTAATTGCATGTTATAGAGATGAGTATCCCAAATGATTTCTAATCCATTATATTGGACCCTGTTACAGTATTAGGGGACCACATATGTTCGCATCTAAAAGTAATATGTTCTATATTCAGAATAGTTCAACCTCACTTGCCAGTAAAATAGTCTTCTCTGTTGAAATCCTGATACCCACAGTACCTATCATAGATAAACATTCTGTTTTGTCCAGGTTCATATTGTATTCGTAACAATAAGTGGGTATATTTCTTTGTAAAACTAATTTTTTCATTTGTGCCATGATATTATTTAAAAAGAAAAAAACCCTTAAAATCTGTCTTAAAATTTTCTGATATGCAATAGCACTAAGGTTTGTTCACTAATTTTACAAGCCAATGTGTATTTGTCTGCTCCAAAGTAACTGTGTTGCTGCCTTTCCTGGTATATGAGAGTGTGGTTGCTGGGGTTTAGAAATGCCTCACATGCCACCATAGAGGAATGGTGGGAAATTGAGATGTCAAGCTGTGTAATCAGAGCTCTGTGGAGGTGGACTGCTGCGTTCCCTGTGATATACCAGAGGTAGTTTGTTTTTATGGCTGGTCAAATAGTTTGGTGGAGTGAAAAGCATATTAATTGTTTCAATTTTCCCATCTTTATACTCACTCTTTTCCTAAAAATGAAGACAGGAGAAGACTGTGACAATACCAAAACAAGTTATATGTTCTACCATTTATCATTGGTTCTTTACTTCTGAATTAAATTTACATTTAGAAAGATGGGATTTGCTAAGTAATATATTTTAAGGAAAAGATCTTCCTTTATGGTATAATACTTCTTTTATAAAATATATATATATTTTTTTACCAGGGTATCCAGAAGTTGGCTAGTCAGTATCTGAAGAGAGATTGGCCTGGAATAAAAACAGATGATCGGAATGATTACAGGTAACTTAATAAGTAGTTCTTGCTCATTTTCTTTAAAAATGGTTTCACTCAGAGCCATGTCACATATAGATAACATAGATTCCAGTTTTTTAAAAACTTGCTTCTTTCCTTTGCTATGTTTTTAGACATAATTTCAAAATTATCAAAATGTTAATGTTCCACAGCATATGTAGATTGTATGAAATAGATCATTTTCATATATAAGCCAAGATTATATTTTGTTTAATTAATTAATATTCACATACGGAATTTAAAGAAAGTAGATGACAGTGAGACACAAATTGTTTCCTCAGTGACCTACAGATGAAACACACTATTGCAATAATAATGAAACAAGATTATAGTTTCTACCATGATTATTGGTTCTTTATTTCTGAAACAAATTCTAAATTTGGAGAGATGGGATTTTGTGAGCCTAGGGGAAAAGAGTTTCTAAGTAAATATATTCATATGTAAAACAAAGTATCCAGAAATTGGCTAGTCAGTTTACCACATACAAATTTAAAAGAAGATAGATGACAGTGGAATATGAATTGTGTCTTCAGTGACCTAGAGATATCTTTAAAGTATTTGTAATTTTGTTTAGAACTTGATGTCCTTTATGAGCTTAATTTGGAAGTATTTGTTGGCTTTTGTGCTCAAGACTGTCCTTAGTGTTGAGGGAACTAGAAGTCAAAGACTAGATTTCAGAGCTTGCACTCTGGTTGGAGTTAAGACTAACGCCCTTGAAACAACAGCAGAGAATCCAGGGTAATTAGTAACTCAATATTGAAGTGTATTGTTTGGAGTCTGAATATGAAATCAAGTTGCTGGATTGAAGACTGACAACATCAGATAATTTAGCAGAGCTAGAGAACTGAAGGATATACTACAAGACACCCTAAGAGTTCTTCACAATTTCAGGACTGACTGATAACTTGGAAGGTGTCATGATAGATGTAAACAATAGACCCATATAGAATAATAAAGCAAAACAGGAAAATAAACAAAAATAGAGATTTATTTTGGACTTTCCAGTATCTACAAAGTTCATCTAAGGAGGGAAGAGAGAGGAGATAACTCGCAGTGAGAGTGAGAGTGATATGTTCAGCATTGCTGGCATGAGGAAAGCCTGACCAAGGAAGAGATTGCTTGCTGGAGAGTGAAGAAGGAGTCCAACTAATAGATAGGCTATATTGCAAGTTCGTTTGAAATTCAGGGTGCAGGTTACCAAGGAAATAAGGATAAAAAGGCTCTGCTCTGGCTTCTACAACCTAATTTTAAACAGTACGTTAAGCCAGCTTTTACTAAATATTTACTGTATGCCAGATACTATGCTAAGAATGTTAGCCTATCTCCCATGATCATCAAAACAACCCTGTGAGGTACATATAATTATCTTCTTTTTACATATTAGGAAACTAAGTCATGGGTTACATGCCTTACTCAAGGTCACACAGCTATTAAACACTCAGTCATTTACTTATTCATTCTTTATTCATGAAATAGATGTGAGATACCAGCTACATGCTAGTGTTATAGTAGACTGTAGGATTAGAGAGACTAGAAAATATGGTGCCTGTCATTCAGGAGCTTACAGGAGATGCCACTATAAACAGTTGCTGTATTGGGTAGCAATGCAGGTGCATTGATTCTGTGGAGGAAAACCCAGGCCTCTAGAGCTGAGTCTTAAAGGATGTGCAGGAGTTTCCCAGGGTTGGGCAAAAGGAATTCTAAGCAAAAGCAGCACCTTAAAGGCATGGAGGCATGAGAAAATATGAACATTAGGTAAGAATGAGCAGTTCAGTATGGTATGTGGGTTGGAGCGTGAGAGGAGTGGTGGACGTGGGTGATACATAGATAGGCATCCTGGCAGACTTTACATGTCACAGAGTTTCCTTTTTTATTCAGAAGATAAGGAAGCATTGAAGAATTTCCACAAGAGGAATGACATGTTCAGCTTCACTTTAGTATTAGAATGAAGGTAGATTAGAGGGATGTGAAGAGGAATTCGGAAAGGATAGAATTGCAGGAATTTAACCCCTTGCCATCTCTTATTTGAACCATGAAAATTGTAGTAGGAATTAGGTTGTGGGGGAATCTGAAGCTAGAAGACTTGCAATTGATTTGGCAGAGTTTTGTTTTTTGTGTTTGTCGGATTTGTTCTGAGACAAACTATAAATCCTTTTCTATAACTATCAAACTATAAGGTAGTTTTCTTGGTATCTGAAACAGCTCTTGGAACATAGAAGACACTTGATAAATATTTACTGACTCTAATAAATATTTACTTACCTCTAATGACATAGAGAGAGGGAGAGGAAGGACGATAAAATGACCTCTAGGTGTTTTAACTTACACAACTGAGAGGATGGTGGTGCCGTTGTGGAAAAAAGGCAATAGTAGGATCAGGATTGAGGGTAATAAGGACAATTGTCAATTTTTTTGTTTGTTTATCGGAAGTTTATTTTAGTTCTAGTCAATTTAAATTTTCCTATTAACTTTTTTTTGTATTTGTATTGGTAGTTTAAAAATTCTTATTCAACTAGTGTATACTTGTTGCATGTGCAACAGAGAGTAAAGGGTATAAAGTGCAGCCTCCTCCTCTTTGCCAAGCCTCTTCCATTCACATTTCTACTCCCCTAGAATAACTGCTGTTAAAAGCATGTGGTCTTTTCTTCCCTCTTTTTCCTGTGTGATGTATACGTGAACGTACAGAATTATTGTATATGTAGGCTTCTGTAACTCCCCACACACCCCTCCCCCCGCCCCCTCAGCCTCCACACATACACTTAAGGAGTCTATTTTAGACATCCTTTCATGTCAGTATGTTCAGATCCCCCATTCTTTTTGATGGCTGTGTTAGTGCCATAGTATGGATAAACTGTAGTTTTGTTATCCATTTCTCTGTTGGTAGTTGTTTAGTTAATTACTATTGCAAATAGTGCTGCAGTGGATAACTCGTGAATGCACATAGTTATATCTTCATGCACTGTGAAAGTATATCTATAGAATAAATTCTTAGAGACGGAAATGCTGGGTCAAAGGGTTTATACCTTTACAGTGTTGTCATTGTAAATTATTCTTTATAAACTGTATATTTTACATTTATCCTAGTTTGACTTGACATTGCACATTTCAGACAGGGCATGTGATCAGTCTTTTAAAATTTTTCCCAGTGTGATGGTACATGCACCATTTAATGCATGGAAACTAGATTTCCATAACACTGCTTTCTCTTGGACCTTTTTCTTTTAATCTTTGGGGATGGGTTTTCAGTTCCGTCTTAATCTGTACAGGCTGCTATAATAAAATACAACAGACGGGATGGCTTATAAATAACAGAAATTTATTTCTCACAGTTATGGAGGCTAGAAGTCTGGGACCAGGATGCCAGCATGGTTGGTTCTGGTGAAGTCCCTCTTCTGAGTTGCAGACTTCTTGACTTCTGGCTGTGTCCTCACATGATGGAAGGGGTTTGGGAGCTCTGTGGAGTCTCTTTATAAGGGCACTAATGTGTCTTATGACCTAATAACCTCTTGAAAGCCTCATCTCCTAATACCATCACCTTTGGGCATTAGGATTTCCATATATGAATTTTGGGGGGACATAGACATTCAGACCATAGCAAGTCCTCTCTATGTTTTTCTCAGTTTCCTCAGCTGTCTAGTGACTGTTTTTTTTTTAAAGATTTTATTTTTTCCTTTTTCTCCCCAAAGCCCTCCAATACATAGTTGTATATTCTTCGTTGTGGGTCCTTCTAGTTGTGGCATGTGGGACGCTGCCTCAGCGTGGTTTGATGAGCAGTGCCGTCTCCGCGCCCAGGATTCGAACCAACGAAACACTGGGCCGCCTGCAGCGGAGCGCGCGAACTTAACCACTCAGCCACGGGGCCAGCCCCTCTAGTGACTGTTTTAAGTAATCTTATCTATATTCCTATCTTTAAAGATTACCTATAAACTGTAATGATCATGTTTTTATTAACTCCTCAGCTTGGGAACCAAAATGTCAGCTGCCTCCAACTTTGACTTCCTGATCTCACTGTCTGTTAGGAATGTTAAGTAGTTGCTTCTCTGCCTGTGATCTCTCCCCTTCACAATTCATTTACTATAATATCACCAACCACGTGAATGTCTTTGTAAAAGAGGCCTACTGTCTCGCCCCTGCTTGAAAATCTTCTATTGTTTCTCCTTGCCAGTAGGGTAAAATTAATTTTTCTTTTAATGATATTCAAAGCCATGAAGAAACCTGGCCCCAAATTCCTTTTCTCTCTTCATCTCTAGCCATTTCTCCTTCTTTCATCCTTGGTTCCCCAACCCTTGGGTATCTCAAGCTGCAGTTGTATTGCTGTTCTTATCACACCTCAACTGGACTGAACTTAGTCATCCTCCCTGCCTTTACTTGTGTTAGCTAGGCTGAGGATGTTCTCCCTGCCTGCTATCAAGAGCGATATATGAACACTTATTTATTAAACACCATACTTGCTCCTTGTTATCAGCTACTATATAAATTAATCTTAGATTATGAACTTACTTATCACATTTTCTGGAGTCTTCCTGGTGTGTGGTGCTATGTTTCTAGGCCTAGGGAAGATCTATGGTTTTGTTTGTTAAATTTTTTTTCTTTAGTTTTTATTTTGAAATAATTGTGGATTCATGTGCAATTTTAATAAATAATATAAAGAGCATTCTTAGAGTCACCCAGTTCCCCCAGTAATAATATCTTGCATAACTATAGTACACATCACAACCAGGAAATAAGACTTTCAAGTCTTATTATTTAAGAAATACATTTCATAAAGCTATAGCTGCCATAGACAGTGATTACTCTGATGGATATGGGCAGAGTAAGTTGAAAACCTTCTGGAAAGGATTCACCATTCTAGATGCTGTTAAGAACACTCGTGATTTATGGGAAGAGGTAAAAATACCAACATTAGCAGGAGTTTGGAAGAAGTTGATTCCAGCCCTCATGGATGACTTTGAAGGGTTCGAGACTTCAGTGGAGGAAGTAACTGCAGATGTGGTAGAAATAGCAAGAGAACTAGAATTAGAAGTGGAGACTGAAGTGCTGCAGATCTCATAAAACTTCAACAGATGAGAAGTTTTTTTGTGGATGAGCAAAATAAGTTGTTTCTTGAGTTGGAATTTACTCCTGGTGAAGATGCTGTGAAGATTGTTGAAGCAACAACAAAGGATTTAGAATATTACATCAGCCTAGTTGCTAAGTCAGCAGCAGAATTTGAGAGGAATGACTCCAATTTTGAAAGAAGATCTACTGTGGGTAAAATGCTGTCAAACAGCATCGCATGCTACAGAGAAATCAGTCCTGAAAGGAAGATCAATTGATGCAGCACATTTCGTTATTGTCTTATTTTAAGAACTTGCCACAGCCACCCCAGTCTTTCCACAACCACCATCCTGATCAGCTGTTAACATCAAAGCAAGACCCTCCACCAGCAAAAAGATATAGCTCGCTAAAGGCATAGATGACGATTAGCATTTTTTAGCAATAAAGTATTTTTTGATTAAGATATGTACATTTTTAGACATAATGCTATTTCACACTTAATAGACTACCATATAGTATACACATAACTTTTATATGCACTGGGAAGCAAAAACATTCGTGTGACTCACTTTATTGCGATATTTGCTTTATTGTGATGGTCTGGAACTGAGCCTGCAATATCTCTGAGGTATGCCTGCACTGGATTGCTATTCTTGAGTGGGAGGTTATATAAGGTAGTGTAAATGTGAGGGATTGGCCTTCAGAGCACAGGTAGTTCATCCAAGTAAAAGGAGGGATGACAGAGTGTATGGGTACAGAGGCAGAGAAATTGGTAGACGTGGTGGGAGCATATGGACATTATCTTCTGGTAGCTTCATTGTCAGCTGAAAGTGTGGTCATATTAAGGGTTTGAGATGAGAGGAAAAGGTGGGAAATAATTGTCTAGAAGAGTGAGAGAATAAGTGGATTAGGGAAATGTATTAGGATTGTGGGTTAGCTCTAAAGAGTTATGAGAATTTATTTGACATCAATTTAACGTGAGACCAGGTATCATGATTTTGGTTTTCTCCAGGAATATTCTGCTGCACAGACATTGGTATAGTGTAAACAGAATTTTGGATTTAACCAAGGTTGGAATTTGTAGGTCGTAATGATGGAAAGAGAGAGGAGCAAGGGTAATAAGGGTGTGTACATAAGGGAGTGATTATAAGGTGGACCATGAAACCTAGGCTGGGTAAGGAGCTGAGAAGGGAGATTTTGAGAGGAGGTGAGAGAGAGTGGGAAGGGGGAAGGATCAAATGGCTTGTGGGTTCTGATAGGGTTGAGTAATTGTTGGAGTCAGAATCCTAGAGGGGGTGAGTGGCAACAGTGTTGGTCCGAGATTAGATGATTAGAGCAGAGGGGTAGTTATTGGTAATGACAAAATGTGTATTATGACCACTGGAGTGCTATATCTGAGTGAATAGCCTTAGAAGAATTTCACAACCTCTCTGAGCTTTACTTTTCTCATCTGCAAAATGGGGATAATGCCTGTCTTACAAAGTTGTCATGAGGATTGAAGGATATGATAAATGTAAAATACGTGATATAGTACCTAGTACGTCATAGATTCTTGAAAGAATGTTCTTCCTTCCTTTCTTTTATAATTTTGAGCCTCATTTCTTGAACTGAGCAGAATAGCAAAATACCATACTTACCTTGATATCTTTCCTTATGCTTCAAAATTACGTATATGAAGCCTAGTGAAATAGAAATATTTTAAAAATCACTCTATTACCCATTATTATTTTTCCCCAATTGGAATGGAAAACACCACTGCTCTTGGAACTACCACTATTGTGTTAACAAGAAGTACTTACATTTCTGCTACAGTTCTGCTGCTATTATTGTTTATTCATTTAAAAGAATCTGTGTGCCCAGAGTTTTTATAGCATTTGCATTTAATTGTTAAAATAGCCCTGTGAGGTACATCGTGCTGGTATTTTTGCTATTTTTCCACTTGCCAGTTAAGGAAATGAAAGTATAGTGAGATGTGCTATGCATAATTATATTAGTTAAACCAGCACTTGAACCCAGGTCTTCTGACTGACTGGCAACTGAACTCTATGCTTTTCAAGATACCTAGTTGCTGAGGATATGTTTGCCTGCTATAGGTCTGCTAATCTCTAAAGATCTCTTTTTAGACTATATAATGAAAGGATTTTTCTTTTTATTGTACAGTCCTCATAATTTATACATTCATCCATTTATTCTTTTTTTCATTCAACAAATGCTTATTGTAACCTTTCTAAATATTAGGCCATGTGCTAGGCCCTTGGAATACAATAGTGAGAAAGACATACACCCCTGTCTTCATGAAATTTTCACTATAGCAAGAGGGACAGACATTAATTAACAGTTATATAATTGAAGGAAAGTGCTGGAGCCATGTGTACAAATAACAGAGAGGGACTTAGCTGAGTCTGTGGGTTGGCTTAGGGGTGATCATGAAAGACTTCCCTGAGGACGTTACATTTAAGCTGAGATTGGAAGGATCAACAGCCGTCAGCTGGATGGAGGGGCAAGGGAGGAGGGTGCTACCTAAGGGGAGAGCACGGATGAAGGGATCTGTCCTTCCTTTTTTCCTTTCTTCCTTCTCTCAGATCACAATTCTCATAACAGTTCTTTCTCATTTTCATTATGATTTAAAAATGTCTTTTAAGTGTAAGTTAATAGTTACAAAGCATAGCACTGAATTTTTCTCTCAGTGCATTCTCTGAGAAAATCGGTTATTTAGATTGCTTAGGAGGGCCTGTGGTGAGCTTATATCCGAGGTTCCATCGGTTGTCATACAGTAAGTCCACAGAAGACATTAATTTTGCTGTTGTTCTTTTTTTCCAGTTTTATTGAAAAATAATTGACATATATCACTATATAAGTTTGAGGTGTGCAGCATAATGGTTTGATTTACATATATTGTGAAATAATTGCCACAATAGGTTTAGTTAACAACCATCATCTCATATTAATTTTGCTGCTCCTAAGTCCATCAGTGCTTCTTTGCTGGCACAGCACAAAGGATCTTTTTTCCAAAGGAACGTTAATATACCTTTGCTTAAATACATGAATATTTCTATCTAAACTGATTCATTTGGTATATTACACAAACTAATTCATTACACAAACTAATCATTTGTGTAATGTAATCATAATATACAATTTCTAGGTTTTTTAGTTCTAAGTGGGATGGGGACCCAGGCAGTTTTTTTCTTGTTTTTACACTGTCATCCATTGACCCATAGCTAGCATTTTGTGTAGCATGTGGGCTCGTACACTGTTATCATGGAAAATCTGCGTGACACAAGAAGGGAAGACCCAGGAGACAAATATCATAATCTATCAGTGCAAGTACCTCATTTTTAAGAATAAAGTACACTTCTTACATCCATTGTTATGATAAGTTATAAAATATGTTCATAGCTTGTGTGGGAGCATACCAGAACTGACTAAGGCATTTAGCAAAGTAGAAGAGAAGGTTTGAAAAGGAAGTTGGCTACAAAAAGCCAAGGATGAATAATTCTTTGACTTTACCAAGAGATTGCTGAGCACATTTATCAAGCAAAGGTGATGGATGGGACTTGCTTGGAATGACTCCAAGCTACAATGTGAGGCTGGCTAAGCATTAATTGCAACAGAGAAACAGATGTAAAGCAACCATACCATAGACTGCTTTTGTCAAACATGTAGACTTCTCAAGCACATATGCATTTGTTCATATTTTATTCCCAGCCACATCAGTTTATGTAAGAGAGTATTATGATGTAGTTGAAAGAGAATGTACTTTAGAGGTACCCAACCTTCATCTCAGTACTGCCAAATTCTTGTGTGATCTAGAGCAACTCTCTGAATCTCTCTGAGCTTCAGTTTCCTCATCTGTAAAATAAGAAAAATATCTTAATGAAATAATGAAACCTGATATTCATAATGATAACCTTGAGAAAGTGAAAGTCCTGGACAAACTGAATTATTCACTAACTTTTTCAGTGTTAGCTTTGTCTGGAATTGTAATCCTTGTATCAGTTTACTCCAGTCTCAAGAATAGCTAGGGAATCAGAACAGCCCCTTTCCAAACTATAGAGGAATAGAGTATATGCCGTGTTTCTGTTTATGTCCGCTAAAAATATTACTACCTATCAACCAGTACAAAATCACTTTCAACTATAAAGAAGATATTCATTCTGTTTGTCAGTGCTAGCCAGTGAGCAAAAGGTTAGCCAACTTCTTCTTTCTTTTCCATGCCTAATACTTTTCTGTCCCTCTTTGAACTTAGGAGCATGTATCCTGTTTGGAAATCTTTTCTCGAGGGAACAATGCAGGTAGCCCAGTCTCGGATCAATATATGTGAAAACTATAAAAACTTCATTTCTGAGCCTGCAAGGACAGTAAGAAGCTTAAAAGAACAGCAACTAAAAAGGGTATTGTTTCTATTTGTTCTTTTCTTATATGCTTTTTAGTATCTCAGTGCTACATTTGTAATCTGTGAGGTTATATTAAATTGCATTTAACACAGAGCTTTTCTATATGGTCATGAATGTTTCTGATTTCGACATGGATTTTCTGATTTCAACATGTTAGTAGGATTTTTTAAATTTCAACGTGTTCCCTCTAACAACTGTGTTTTGTTAACTGACAAATGTGAGTATAATTTGAAACTGTGGACATTCTGAAAACTCAGTAAACACTTCTGACAAATATCACTCTTCAGCTTACGTAAATAGATCTACTTAGTTTCACAATATTGGTATAGTTTGGTGTATATTAAAATAGTTAGAATGTTATTAATCCCACTGTCTTGAAAAAATGTCTTAATCCAGCCATTTTGTATAATAATTTAAAGGAAGTTGACACATTTTGACCAGCTATAGCAAACTTATTACCAAAAATGGTATTCTGTCAAGTTTATAGGTTATATAAAAGTAAAAGTTTTCAAGTGTGTTTCTTTGATTATATAGAAATTAAAAATTCATAGAAAAAAATCGTTATTAGATGTGATTTTTATGAAAAGCTTGCTCTTAAAAGTAGATGATTAAATTGTGTCCTTTTTGGAAATAGAGTTACAAAAATAGAGATTATCATGATGCCTAATCAGTAAATTTTTCTAATGGAAGTATTAATGTTTTATAAAATATTACAGTAATTATTTAAGGAAATAATATTTCAGAAGCCATCCAGTGTTTTGATTCTAGCACTCATTTGGATTTTCAGAACTTTTTTGCACACAAAAACTAAAAAACTTATTCTTCCTTGTTTGCCAAAGATGATTTCAGTAGCATGAAATCAGTATGTTAAATGTATATAGTGTGTATATAAAATTTTAACTTCTTTCAAGCATTCATGTAATATCACTTAGTTTTAACATATTTGTATAAGAATGCCCTTATCTTTGCTCAAAATTACCTCTTTCAAAACAAACATGGTGAATAAACTATGTGACCACTGACCAAACAATGCTTTCTAGTTGGAAGAAAATACGTTGTGTGTGTGTGTGTGTGTGTGTGTGTATCCATCCATGCATGCAGAGAGAGGGTAGGAGATAGGAATAGAGAATGAATGCTAGTGTAACTTCCCAACCAGGGGGAAATACTGCATTTCACATAGCCAGTGCATTCACGAAATGTAACTGAATTACTGGAATGTTGTGACTTTCTCAGTATCAGAGTCATTTCAAAGAGTTTACCTTTTGTGCTTCTTTTGTTGTCTCTAACCTGAATTTAACTAGCCTTCCTGGCCAAAGAACATTTGGTGAGAATTGACAAGTCCTCATATCTGTGAATTAACTTGTTTTATATTATAGCTGATAATAATGGTGTTTATGTTCCATCTAAGCAATTGTTAAACATTAAGTACATATTGGGCATACCTGTCAGGGCTCTAAGATTACAAATGACAGAAACCCACTTCAAACTGGCTTAAGCCAAGAAGAGAATGTATTAGTTTGCATGACTGAAAATTCCAGCATAGATGGAATCCGGGCAAGAGTGGATCCAGGTGCTCAAATGATGGTATCAGAATTCAGTCTTTCTTCCTATCCATTAGCTCTGCTTTCCCCAATAGCTTCGTTCTTCAGCAGCTCTCTCCACATGGTGGCCCCCAGAGTACCAGATTTACAAGTCTTACAGCTAGCAACGCTACATTTTTCATTTTCCCAAAAGTTTCAACAGAAGTACCAGAATTGGGGCTCATTGGCTTATCTTGGGTCACAGCCCTCCCCTTGAGTCAGGGCTTTCAGTCCTCATGCAAACTACATGGACCAAAAATGGGGAAGGATGATTCTCCAAAGGAAAATTGAGATGGATTCCCCAAGAAAAAACAAGGGGAGTAGAAAGAGCTAGCAAAAGCAACAGATAGCCACTATAATTGGCTTCTCCAGTTGTACTTCCAAAACTTTACAACCAAGTGATCAGTAAATCATCTATTTTCTTTCTTTTCTTGTCCAACCCTCCCCCTTTCTTTTGCCTTCTTTTGGATTAATCTCATATTTTTCTTTACTTTTTTTTTTAATTTTAGTGTGATAATACAATATAAGATCTTCCCCCGTTAACAGATTTTTAAGTGTATGATAGAGTATTGTTATTTCTGTAGGTACAATGTTGTACAGCAGATCCCTGGAACTTGCTCATTTTGTATAACTGTAGTTTTCTACCTATTGATCAGCAACTCCCTCTTTTCTCTTCCTCCACCTCCTGCCAACCAGAATTCTATTATTTGCTTCCATGGGTTTGAGTATTTCAGATACTTGGTGTAAGTGGAATCGTGTGGTATTTGTCCTTCTGTTACTGGCTTATTTCACTTAGCATAACGTCCTCCAGGTTCATCCATGTTGTTGTATGTTGTAGGATTTCCTTCTTTTTTAAGGCTATAATATTCCATTGTATATATATGCCACACTTTTTTATACATTCATGTGTGGACCGACATTTTGGTTGTTCACACATTTTGGCTTTTGTGAATAGTGCTTCAGTGAACATGGGAGTGCTAATATCTCTTCTAGATCCTCATTTCAGTTCTTTTGGATACATAGCCAGAAGTGGGATTGCTGGATAATATGGTAGTTCTATTTTTAATTTTTTGAGGAAGCACCATACTGTTTTCCATAGCAGCTGCACCGTTTTGCATTTTGCACAAAGATTCGAATTTTCCACAACCTTGCCAGTGCTTGTTGTCCTCTGGTTGGTTGGTTGGTTGGTTGTTTTTTGCTGAAGAAGATTATCCCTGAGCTAATATCTATTGCCAATCTTCCTCTTTTTTTTTGATTAAGGAAGATTAGCCCTGAGCTAACATGTGTGCCAGTCTTCCTCCACTTTCTATGTGGGTTGCCACCACAGCGTGGCTGATGAGTGGTATAGGTCTGAACCTGTGAACCCAGGCCACCAAAGTGGAGCACACTCAACTTAACCACTATGCCATGGGGTCAGCCCCTGTCTTGGTTTTTTGATAATAACCATCCTAACAGATGTGAGGTAATAACTCATTGTGATTTTGATTTGAATTTCCCTGGTGATTAGCACAATCTTATTTTATTATTATCAGTTTTTCTTCTGTTATTAGCTTTTGAATTTTATAGTTTTATACTATGCTTTTAGTAATTACCTTGGAGATTACAGTATGCCTCCCTGACTTAGAACAGTTTACCTTGAATGCACTTTTACTGTTCTCCAAACTTTGCTCTAAATAAATTTATTAAAATCTACCTTGAATTAGTATTTTACCACCTCATGAACAATGTAAAAATCTTCCAACAGTATAATTCCATTTACCTCCCCTTTATGACTTTTATGCTGTTAGACCTTTTGACTCTGTCCATATGCCTTTTGTACTTTTTCTGTGTTTTCTGTATTTCTACTCTTTTTTCTCTCTGTACTTTAGTCTGAATATTTTCCACTGATATCTTGCAGTTCATTAATACTCTGTTCTGCTATTTCTAATCTGTTTTTAAAACTTATCTTTTGGAATATTTTTTTTCCTTTGGAATCTTAATGTATTTTTCAGTTCTAGAATTTTGACTTTTTAAAAATGGTTCCATGAAGAGGTGCACTTCTCCATGTTTTTCCTTTATCTTCTTGAATATGTTACTCCTAATCTCTGTTTCATAGTTTCACCATCTGAATTACTGTAAGTCTCTTTTTATTGTGTGTTGTTTTTCTTGGGTTTTGGTTATTTGGGTCTGCTATTTTAGAATGCCTCACGATGCTAGACATTGTGGATAAACATTGTAGAGGCTCTGGAAGATGTTTTCTATTTCCAAAGAGAGTATAGGTTTCTGGCAGGCAGAGTACTATCAGATCACCTTGATCCTATTAGGGTCTGGTTTTAGGCTTTTTAGGGCTGGTCTGTTTCACTTTTGTCCTTGTTCCTAGGGTCTTACCTGAAAGTGTGGGGTGCTTACCAAAGCCCTTCTACTGTGACAAGACTTGGACTCCATCCTTTGTCTTCTCAGCATCTTGTAGCCGCCCTGATTCTCTGATCACTGCTCAGCTCCCTTAGTCTTTCAGCTCCTGTCCCTAATAGGATTTCTTGAAATTTCACCCCACACATGTCATTTTTAGAAGTCAACTGATGACTCAGGCAGAAATTGCATACAGAAATTTTCCCATTCTCTCCATTTCCTAATTGATCGTGTTTCTATACAACCTTTATGTTTATTATTTTTTTATTTCTGGATGAAATTTTTATTTATTCTGCTTTATTTAATCATACCTCTGTTTTTAGATATTACCACCAAGTCTGCAATAAAAGTTAACTTTTTTCTTTTAAGTTATTTTCTTAGGATAAATTTCCAGGACATGACTACTGGGTCAGAGAAGCTACTAGTTTGTGGGACCTAGAAGTATTGGCCCAAGTTACTTTTATTTTTATCCCTGAATTCAAGATATGAGCAAGTCTGTCTATCCTTGTATCTGTGTCATCCTCAGGAATCATACTTTTAATTTCTTCACTAGGATCCTGAATTATAATATCCAAACTTTCCATCATTTTGCATGATCCCTTAGCCTTAATGTAAATTTGTACTTATTTCTGTGTCTGCTCAGTGCTCATAACTCTTGGGAAAGAGCGGAGCGTATATCACACCAAGGCTCTTCTTAGCACAGGCATTATTAAGCTCTTTTTAAGTATGTAACTTAGTCCACTCCAGAAAACTGGATTCCTACAGAAGAAATTTATTTTAAAAGTTGGAAAGTAAATCCTAGGTAATCTTTTCCTTTGCAAATTAAGTTTGATGAGTTTTATTTAATAAATATTTTTGGTATTTTGCTATGCGCAGAGCACTTCCCTTTAAAGAAGAACCCAAGATACTCTGACTGGAAGCAGTTCACTTGGGTGATGGAAAACATTTGGTTGTGGATTTACTGAATGTTAGGGAAGAAAGGATCACAAGTGATCTCTTCAGTGTGCATACAGGCTATCTCTAGTGTTGGTTGATAAACAATATCACAGAAACTTATGTAAAGGGAAAAAAGCAAGTAGGAAGAGAATCAACCAGAGTCTTCTGACGCAATTTTTGAGAAATTCTTTTTAAAGATACGAACTACCACAAAATGCATCTGATATTATAGCACATATGAAAAGTAATTTAATTAATAACCTTTTATAGATGAAAATGAATTAAGTAATTTCCATAAGATGTTTGTTTACCCAGGACTAAGGAGAGATGTCTTGTTCTTCAGAGGGTAGGAATGTAAGGAGGAGTGACTGTGTGTACGTGTGTGTGTGTGTGTGTGTGTATGCTCATGTACAGATGGTGTTCGCTGTGTGTGGATGTACTGAGACCCTATCCACATGGCTTGCAATCCCCAGGAAAACCTTGGACCTACTGTGTTTAGTTTCCTCTCAAAAGACTCAAATTAGCAGACCCTTTCACTGCATATGTATCACCACAGGACTCTCAGGCTTCCCTTCGTTGACTGCTTTTTCTGAGGCTAAGCTCCATTGTTTTAGATGAACATTTAGATACCTTCCACCTGACTCCTCTTTTAGATAATCCATCCTATTTTCTCATTAAACACAGTTGTATCTTTCAGACCATGCCTCAGTTTTTGGTTTTTAATATCTAATTGTAGGCATGGAGCACTCTCTCAGCTCTTCACAGTTGCAAATGTCCCATTATGGGGATGTTTAGCACTTCTCTATGGGAGTGTCAGGTTGTCATAGTATTATTTATTATAGAAGAAGAGGTTTCTGTATAATAAGTACTATTAAGAATTAAGGAGAGGGGGCCGGCCCAGTGGTGCAGCGGTTAAGTTTGCATGTTCTGCTTTGGCGGCCCGGGGTTCACTGGTTCGGATCCCAGGTGCAGACATGGCACCACTTGGCAAAAGCCATGCTGTGGTAGGCGTCCCACATATAAAATAGAGGATGATGGGCATGGATGTTAGCTCAGGGCCAGTCTTCCTCAGCAAAAAGAGGAGGATTGGCAGCAGTTAGCTCAGGGCTAATCTTCCTCAAAAAAAAAAGAAAAGAAAAATTTTATGCAAGATGAAAGCTTACTATTTTAGTATATCTATACAATGAGAGATTAATCAGCCATAAAAAGGAGTGAATAATTAATACATGATACAACATAAATGAACCCTGAAAACATTATGCTAAGTGAAACAAGTGGGTAAGGCCACGTAATATAATTCCATGTATGTGAAATGTCCAGAATACAAAATTCGCAGAGACAGAAAGTAGATTAGTGGTTGCCAAGGGTTAGGGGTAGGGGGAAGTAGGGAATGACTGCTAACGGGTATGGAGTTTCTCTTTAGGGTGATGAAAACGTTCTGGAAATAGATAGTGGTAATTGTACAACCTTGTGAGTATACTAAAAACCACCAAATTGTACACGTTAAAAACGTGAATTTCAGGGTCAGCCTGCTGGCACAGTGGTTAAGTTCATGCACTCTGCTTTGGTGGCCTGGGGTTCACAGGTTCAGATCCTGGGCATTGACCCATATACCGCTCATCAAGCCATCTTGTGGCAGCATCCCACATACAAAATAGAGGAAGATTGGCACAGATGTTAGCTTAGCAACAATCTTCCTGAAGCAAAAAAAAGAAGAAGATTGGCAACAGATGTTAGCTTGGGGCCAATCTTCCTCACACACACATACACAAAAAGCTTACTATTTTAAGATAAAGTATTTCTAAAGGAGACCTTAAAAACATGGTTATCATAAATCTGGGGTACACATTATAATGGGTTACATGGTAAATGATACCATCACTTCCTCACTATATGACTTTGGGTAAGTTATTTAACTTCTTTAAGTCTGTTTCTTCATCTTAAAATGGGGCTAATAATATGAATATTTTATCACAGAGTCATTTTGAGAACTAAATGTGATAATACCCATAAAGTACTAAACATAGTGCCTTGTGTCTGTGTCCATAGGGAGTTTTCTTAAGTGTAACTAAACATTCAAACTCTCATGGTTATCGTAGGCCACACCTGCCATGAGGCTTACTTAGAAGAACATTATGACAGAGAACACAGTTGACCAGCAGAGCAGTATCCAGCATTAGTAGAATTGGTTCTCCCACCAGTGTATGTCTCAGTCTAAATAGCCAACCAGAGTTGTTCTGTTTGGTCCCCCAGGCGACAGGTCTGGGGCGAGGGAATGAGATTCACATGTGCAGGGGTAGCCCCAGGACCTAAAGGAGACTAAAATCTTTCGTTACAGCTCTACAGACAGAGCTTCCAAGTCCCTGCAAGGGACTTGTCCAGATACAGGAATCACCGTATTCACGGAGCCCACAGCCAAGCCTTCTCCATCAGATATTGATAGTTCATTTGTAGTTTCTCCCAAATTGATGCAATTTACCTATAAGGGTTCATAAGCAATGTTGCCGAGTAATATAGTTGACATGCGTCTTCATCAGGTTTCTGTTGAAACACAGACCTAGAAAGTTAAGCCAAGATCCGGTTTTCATGCAGAGGAGAAAGAGAGAGTGGGTTTTTTTAACCCTTTATTTACAGCCTAACACTTACGAAGTGCTCAATAAATGTGCCCATAGGGAGCCTTCCAGATCTTTTACTTTCTGTAAAGTAGTGCCTTTCTTAACACCTAGCAATTTCTGGGAAACTCTAGCCTGTATGTCACGTGTCTAAGTTTAAGTTTATTTGTGTGTTATCTTCACTCTTCTGATGTCCTTGCTCTACTCCACACTGTTCAGCCTGGAACGATAGTCTCTCACCGATGTCTCCTGTGCTTTGCTAAGCTTTTGTCAGTCTCCACCACGTGCTGACAGAGCTATTGCAGGCTCAAGTTTCTCAGTAGGGGCTGCCCTGAACTGGGCTCAGGCTAGAGAGACTGTTCCGTGGTTTGTTTCACACTGGGAAAAATGAGTCCCCTTGGATGTCCAGAAGGGTCCCGAAGCAGTGTTACTTTGGCCCCAATTTGTTATAAGAGTTTATTGATTAAACATTTCTTTGAGTTATTATGTCTGTCCCCTCTCCTAGAACGTATGTTTCAAGAGATGAGTTGGGGGAAGTTTTGAGTAACAATTGTTATGTGGTACCCAGGTTTCGTGCTTCTCTCCTTCATTTTGGGCGTATCAAGTGAGACTTCTCAGATTTCACTCCTTCTTTCCTTGGGGTGAATTCTTCAGTACCCTTTGCACCATCAGTTCCCCAAACATGTAGAGAGAGATATAACGTATATTAAGATTATGAAGAAATACAGAATTGCTTTATTCTTTTGCCATTATTGCCATGATATCTGCAATAGCGAGGGCATTTTCATTGTTGATCTTCCTCCCTTACTGTCGGTCAGCAGCTCTCAGAGGTTATTTCTCAAAGCAGAATTGTTAAGCAGACTGTGACACGGTGCGATCATTCCTTGAGCTGGGGGTACCAGCTGTTGTGCATTGGATTTTAACCTGCAATTTGAAGGGGACTAAAACTGCTGATTCTTCTCCTGGATTTCTATCCCAAGGGCATAGTGCACAGACCTGAGGACAAACTCATTTTCTGTAAGCCTGAAAACTAAAATCATAATAATTGCACTTTTTGTTTTACAGTGTGTGGACCAGTTGACAAAGATCCAAACCGAATTACAAGAGACAGTGAAAGATTTAGCTAAAGGCAAAAAGAAGTACTTTGAGACTGAACAGATGGCTCATGCAGTACGAGAGAAAGCTGACATCGAGGCAAAGTACGTGTTTTAGAATTTCTGAAAAAATGATTTGGCAAATAAATATTATTTTTGCCAATACTTTGTTTTCTGTTAATACAGGGGATAGACACATACTTAGGTTATGTTGCTTTCATCTGACCTATAAATGTTACATACTTTAGACCAAATTGTTCTTTTATATTGGCTGATTTTATTTAAATTAAGATAGCAAAATGGGAATATTTGATCAGTTTTCACATTAAATTTAATTTTGAAAAGGAAAGAAGACAGATGGACTTTGTATCGAAAGTTTAGTAAAAGTCTAGTTAAAGTTGCTCTAGTGTCTGAATATCAGGCTTTAAGAGCCTCATTTTTCTCATGCTAGACTCTAAATCAGTTGTAGCTGGAAATCCCTGCTCCTCAGCATGCTGTTGAAGGGCCATGGACACATCCCATGAGCAAGAGCGCTGACCTCAGTATGGAAACCCTGCCCCAGGCACAGTTTTTCTCTTACATGACATTCTAATATATATACTTTTTTAATTTGTGCTTTAGCAAGTGTGTGAATTTTTGTTTCATTATATGTGAATTACAGATCCTTTATTTTGAGAACAATTAGGAAAAAAGGAACTAGCACTTGGTAATAGAAAGAGAGATAAAGCAAGCAGTAGAGATTTTTGCAATGACAACTTGAGGAAAGATAAAAAGTTCTTGAGAAAAAATAAATCTGTGTTATAGAATGAGGCTCTGAAGAGGTCTGTGAGGAGAGCTGAACCTCCCACCGAGTCAGCTTACTGGTGCAAAATCTAGGAGTCTGGACTCCCAGTCATGAAATCAGAAAGGCTATGAACATTTGTACAGACTAGCAAGGAGTGGGGACTGTCTTTCTAATACGTTTTTTAGCTGCAAGAAATTAATCAATCTCATGTAAGCATTTTGTGAAAATTTAGGGGCTCCTGGAAAGTTTATTTCGTACCAAGGGAAGGTAAATGAATACTCAAAGTACTGAATATTACTGGAAAACCTATTTAATATTTCCCTAATTTAGTTTGTTGTCTTTATTATTTTATTTTTGTGAGCAGCCAAGTGTTTCCTGTACTTTCATCGTGTCAATGAACCTGTCTTCCCCTAGGACGTGAAGTATCTAGATTAAGTGATCTCCATTAGAAATATCCAGTCATGGTGGTTTTGAGGAACTTGTTTTTTAAAATTCTCAGGGATTCTAGAACAGAGAGTTGACAGATTTGTAGAGTGTATATAAATACTTACTTTAGCCGAAGCCCACAGGGTGAAAATGAGGGCAATTGTGGGCCTTTCCTGAGAAGTATAGATTTGACAGGATCTAATTCAGAGATGCTGATTACAAGGATCTGCCTTCTAATATGGCACAAATTCAAGGGGGCTACAGCAAATTAGACATTTTAGTTCAGAGTGTAACTTTTCTGGAAAATTAATTCAACTACAGAGTAAGAAATGCCTCTTCATTCACTCACTAAATGTTTATTGAATAATTACTTTATATTGGGTATTGTGGGTTACAGAGGTGAGTAAGATAAGTTTTGCGCCCTCAAGAAGTTTAAAGCCTAGAACTAAAGACAAATGTGTGTAAAAGTAACTGTATGATTTGTTTTTTCACAGTAAACTCGAAGTTAAGTATCTAAAGTCACTCACCTAGTAACTAATTTATTTACAGTAGTTATGTGAAAACACTGTTTTGTAAGCATAGAAAATGGAGAGGTTAATTTTGCCTAATGAAAAAGGGAACCTTTATAGAAGTGCTGTGAGGACAGAATCTTGAAGAATGAATAAGTAGAGATGAGAAATAAGATCAGGAAGGGGAAGTAAAAACTGGACTACATATAGTTTTGGTGGATGGTTTGGCAGATGGTGAGATGTGCACGTTAGGAGAGAGTGTAGAAGGAAGAGGGTTACAGTTTGAAGAGAAGGGTGAGTTCCATTTTGGAGATGTTGGTTCTGAAGAACCTTTGGCACGTGGGGTGAATAATGTTTGGTAGGGAGTCATATATATAACTCTCAGAGGAGAATTTGGGCCTAAAGATCTCACTTTTAGGGGCCAGTTGCCTATCAGATGAGCGTGATCAGGATGAAATCATGTATAAAATGAGATGAGAAGTTGAGTTTGGAACCCTAAGGAACATTAACGTTTGGAAGGTCAATGAGGAAGAAGAATGTGCAGTATAGTTCATTTTTTTGTACATATCTCATTTGTTCTAGGTCATAATCTTTGAGGACAAGAACTGTGTTATTCTATCTATTACTAATACCTACTTTAGTACCACACAAGAATTATATGAGGGTTATCAAATGAAGCAGAAGCCAGAAATTTAAAACCTTATATTGGAAAATCCAGATGCAACACAGACTATTTGGATAATGACTACAAAAAAAAGGAGAATTTAGAGTATCCCAAACAGTCTTTCTTAACCCTGAACAGCCTGTCTCAAAATTTAAAGTTTGTGGTCTTTGCTTTTCTAGATTAATATGAATAAGATTCTGATTAATAAAAACAAAAACCCTGTGAAATATGAATATGACCAGGTAGAAAATAACAGGAATGTGTTGAACCCAATTTTTTTTAACAGTGGGGAAGTGATTGGGGTATGTATGTGTACGTCCCTGAATGTTTCTCTCTTGTTAGAAAGAGGAGAGGCTGCTTTTGCTCTCCTCCTCACATTTATTCTGCAGAGACTGGCTTTCTCTGTCTTCAATCCCAAGTGGTCTGCAACTTTACTACATATTATGGTATAACTGCCAGCACATGCATTGAATTCTCCCATGGCAATCACCATGACACTGCAGTCAAGACAAACATTGCAGCTTTAGAAATCACTGGTCGTGGGAGTGCTAGCATTTGTTGACTTTCTCCTTATGGTTATCTCTAGTTGTTTGGGTAAAACCAACATATTTTTACTACTGATTGTTAGATTATGGTTCCTCTGTGATGCTGAAAGAAATAGGGACACCAAAATGAGAAAAGATTAAATAGAACAAAATCATTTACGGCAGGGAGTCCAAGGACTCTCACTGTGTTCGGAATACTATGTTAAGAGAGGAGGCAGCACACAGTCAGGCACCCAAACAAGAACATCTTTTAATGGGAGAAATAAAGAAATTAAGGACTTTCTAGAGCCTAGTCAATATCATACTGTAGATTGCATTCCTGGCATTGTTCTAGCCTGTCACACATGGCTCTGAAAACCTGCTCATCTTTGCCTCTATAGGTTGGTTATCCCTGGGCTTCTTTAAGCTTCCTTGCAGGAACTAAAGTGTGTGTAATTGTATGATATGGGAATAACCTATAGTTTGATGACTCTTATTTATTATGAGATACCAATATATTGTGTTGTCAAATTGTATTTTTGTCACTCAGGATATTGTTATTTTATTAATTTCAATATATCTTGTTTCACCATTATATTTTTTCTGTATTAAAATAAAGGAAAATAATCATTGCTGTTGTTTTTCCATTTTTTAGTTCTCTTTTAGAATAGTGTTGTGGAAAGGGGTCACTTTTTTAAAAAATTAGTAATTATAATATTTAATCATTTTATTGTGATATAATCTGATAATTTTATTAAACATACTTTTCTATTTTTATTATAGATCTAAACTTAGTCTTTTTCAATCAAGAATCAGTTTACAGAAGGCAAGTGTAAAGGTGAGTTTTTGAAAACTGTATTTCACAATTGAGAAACTTTAGCTTATAAAAAAAGAATTGGGTCTTTTGAGGTGGAGGTCAACTGGTTCCACCTACTTTAGAGAAGCATTTTAGTCACTAACTTAGAGAAGAACTTTCCTTCCCAATTCGTGGTTGTTTTTCCCCCAGGTGTCACCACTTTGTACACTGCTTGCTTCACAAGATTGCTTCGCAGATGGGTTTCTATACCTTACCTGCTTAGGTAGCCTGTTGTCTTTAACTCTTAGTCCAAGAGAATCAGTCCACGGGCTTTAGAAAGCTCTACAAATTCCATTTCATTCGGATTTATACCCTGAGCAGATATTCTGGGCCAAATGCAAGTGAGTTTTTTCTGTGGGACCCTCAAGCTGTGGAATACCTGATAAGTAAGGTTAGTGACCTGCCTTTGGCTGCCAGGCTCCCGCCTAGCATACAGTTCTTTGGCACATCAGGAGTGCTGATTTTTTAAAAACTATTTTCTAACTCCAACAGATTTACCCATGTCTTCGAAGATAAGGTATTTACTTAATGTGGAAACCTTTATTTTCCCATCTGAATAAAGTGTGCAGAATATTTTGAAGTTCTCTAAAAAGCTTTGGAAGTTTAAGTGTAAATAACAAATACAGTCATGCATCACTTAATGACGGAGCCACGTTCTGAGAAATGTGTTGTTAGGCGATTTTGTCATTGTGTCAACATCATAGAGTGTACTTACCAAACCTAGATAGTATAGCTTACTATACTAGGCTCTATGGTACTAATCTTATGGGACCACCATCATATATGCAATTCGTCGTGGACCGAAACATCATTTTGCATGACTGTATTTGAAAGCACTTGTACCGTGTGTAACAGTTCTAGTCACTGTTTATTTAAGTCCTCAATGGTGTTGAATAATTTTTATCTGCATATAAATGTTTCTCAACACGGTTACTTTTACTCTTGTTGAGGAGCTATTAATTGCCAACTAATAGTGGTATCCTCCTATGTTTGCAGTGCAATATCAGTTTTTACTGATTTCTTTTTCTTTTACTGTATTTTAGTTAAAAGCTCGGCGATCTGAGTGTAATTCCAAAGCTACCCATGCAAGGAATGATTACCTTCTTACGTTAGCAGCAGCAAATGCACATCAGGATCGCTACTATCAAACAGATTTAGTTAACATTATGAAGGTAATCCAGCCTTAACATCTGTGGTAATTTTGTTTCATTAAAGACGAAAACAACTCGTGAGTTGAGTGTTGGGTATGTGGGCCTGAGTCTGAGGAACGGCAGCAGGCTACTTGGTATTTCATTGGAATATACTTGATATTGTTTGGATAACCTCTGTTTTGGTAATTCTGAATTAATTTTCAGTGTAAGAAAATGTTTAGAGCAAAATCACTAGGATTGTATTATTCCCTAGTGGCAGATACTTACTCTATAGTGGTTATTAATGTATAAGTTATAACAAGATTTTTTTTAAAAGCTTAGATGTTTAAAATTTCATAATTTCATCCTTAATTGATAGGTAAACATGTACATTAACATTTTATGATTTTAAGGTGCCTGTGGGAAAAACAAGAGGAAATGTCTTATAATTATATGAAAACATCTCTACCCTGGGTATCACTCCGAAATGTAGCTAGATTAGATTACAGTTTCTTATTGCCCAAACTCGATCTTGGTCTTTCCCTGTTTATACACTAATGTATATTTATCTTTAACTTTTACTGAAGTAGGGGAAAAAGGGTGGAGGAGAAGAAAACCTTTTTAACCTGCTGCCAGGTTTCCCTTGTTGCTGGTAGACAAGTTCTGCTTTGAATTGTATCTCAGTCTCTTCTATCTTCTCAAGGACCCAAATATTTGGTTATTCTGTTTTTCTCGTATTTTCAACCCATCTCTCTTAAATGTATTGTTTTTTTTTTCTTGTGAGGAAGATTGGCCCTGAGCTGATATCTGTTGCCAGTCTTCCTCTTTTTGCTTGAGGAAGAGTGTCACTGAGCTAACATCTGTGCCAGTCTTCTTCTATTTTATGTGGGATGCCACCACAGCATGGCTTGACGAGCAGTGCTAGGTCCATGCCTGGGATCCAAACCTGCAAACTTCGGGCCACCAAAATGGAGCACATGAACTTAACCTCTGTGCCACCAACCCAGCCCCAAATATATTGTTCTTAATGACTATCAAACACATTGATTTCATCAAGTTGCTTGCTTTATAAATCAGAGGTGTTGAGAATGGGGAGGCAACAGGAGTGGACATTCTTTTTCCTGCAGTGGCTCTAGGAAAGAGAGAAACTCTGTCCAGAAACTACAAGTTCTTTCCTTGAAAGTAGAAACAGGACATTTCCTGGGACCTTCAGGGGAAAATAGGAGTGATGGAGAGCGTCAAACTGGACTAAGAAGTACCCTATTGTGAAATTTTTCCTTTCCTTTTTGTTCACTGCCTGAAATCCTCTTGTCCTAGCTTCCATCCTGTTCCAACTTCTCCTGGTTAGAATGCAGGTGGTGAGAGAGATAAAGGATTGTTTTGACATCCCAGATGAGAACTCTGTATACATTTCCCCATAAATGTCAGACCTAGAGGTTTAGGCATTTTAGTATCTTATTAGGTGTTACATAGTGCCTCAGACTTACAGGGACCAACTGGAGACTTGGCCTCCCATTGTAACATGTTTTCTCTAGGGAAATAGATATACTCAGTTTCAAACACCCCATTTAGTAAAGAAGATTTTTAGTACAGCTTGATTTGAGGTTGTGATTCCCTATATACTTTCTACTATTAAGTCAAAGCTGTTAACTGTATATATTTTTCCCTTTGAATACTTTAAAATGAGCATTATGTTGGTTTAGGTGCAGCAAAAATAAAGTCTTTATGTTTTTTAAATTGAATCCACAGGCAAAAAACATCTCTCACTTGAAATCCTGTGGCCTTTGATAAACAGGAAAGCTATAATGGTATTATTTTAGGGGTTTGCCCTCTGCCAAAAACAAAGGGGAAGCTAATGGGCCTGGCCGGCTCTCAGATTATGTGTGAAGTACTTGAACTTACCTTGAAGTCCTCATGCAGGTATTTGATCAGCATTGGGTGGGTTATGCTTTAGATTATTCATTTCATGAAATCTTGTAGGGTACCAAAATGATAAAAATAGAGGAAGGAGTCCCCCTGGTCCCTTAAAAATAGGACAGTGTATTCTGAATTTTCATGTTGTGTATGTTGATTCATTTTCTTCCTTATGCTAATTCTATAGTCTGCAGTATTGGAAAACTCCCGTCAAGCATGCTGTTAATTACTAAGCAAGTTTCTATCATTGAACTGACAGTGGCCCCTTAGTGCCTTTCTTGGAAATGTCTGTTTTTTGAATTGTTGTTAAGGTTGTAATGCCCTAACTAGAATTTTTTTTAAAAATTATGTAAACAGCTTGGAAGCAGGAGATTTGATTCGTTAATTTAATCATACACATTTAATAGTCACTTACAGTGTGGTAGCTATTGGGCTAGGCTTTGGGAAGAAGCAAAGATGAGTAAGACACGCTCCTGATCCTCAAAGAGCTCAATCTGGTGGAAGAGAATTATATAGAAATGATTATAAATTGGAATAATGAAATCACTTACTGATAGAGGACCGTGGTTAGTAATAATCATAGCTATCATTTTTTTTTGGATTGCTTGATATTACCCTGGCATTGTCCTAATCATTTTAGGCATTTTATCCTTTCTCGTTTTCTTCCTTATCCTGGGTAGAGTTCATAGTTCATTATTTAAACAGCACTCTAGCCTGTAAATGAAATGAAATGAAATCCCAGCTCTGGATGAACCTAGATAACCTCTTCCTCTGTTCCTGCATCTAAGTAACCAAGTACTGCTGAAGAAAATCTTTCAACAGAGCAGATTCATGATTGTAAGTTAATGTGGAACTTGTCTCAAATGGCCCTTCAGCACTGCTCAGGTATCCTACTGTATTTCCCTGGTTAATTTTCCCTACTATTTTTAACAAGTTTTTCAACTCTTTCCCTTCTCCTCAAACTTCAGATTTACCCCTTCTCTTTCACACTTAGCAAGTGGTCTTTCTTCCTAATTTACGGAGAAAATAGGAGCCATTAAAAGGAAACTCCATTATTAACCCATTCCTTGCCTTTATCTCTGTTCAAGACTCTTCCAAGGAGTCTTAATAGCAGAGTTGTTCTCCGTATCTAAAGATGATCTTTTCACCTCGGCTTTGGATCCCCTCTGCCTTCTCAGGGATCGAAACAATGGATTTTCCTATTTTCTCCTTATATTTCTTGGGCATTCTAGTCTTAGGTTAACAGTTGATGGGATCTTAGTGATGCCAGTGCTCATTATGTCGTCTTTTGTGTTACACTCCTCTAATCTGGATTCGTTGCCCTCTGCGTCCGATGCAATGCAGTCATTCTGAGAGCTTCCTTTGCCTGTCTCCTATGTTGAATCTCCAGTGTTCTGTATCATTTGTCTTCTGTTTTCTTCGTTTACTCTGTTCTTTGGTGGAATACATCCTCCAGTACTTTCTTGAGAGAGTGGGCATGGGAGTTAAGTTTTTTGAGATATCATGTTTATGAAAATGTCATTATTCTGTGCTCATAGTTGGGTATAGAATTAAAGGTTGAAAACCATTCTTATTCCGATGTTGAAGTTAATGCTCTACTGTCTTCTTGTTTCCTGTGACAGATTAGATTAGATTGAGAATTGAGAATCCACAGCCATCCTGATTCTTGATTCTTTGTATCTGATCTAGTTTTTTTTCTTTTTAGAAACTTGTGAAATATTCTCAGTAAGCCCTTTGATTCTTGGCTTAATTCTTCCCTTTTTTTTTTCTCTTTCTGGAACTCCTGTTACTAAGTTGTTGGATCTCCTGGTCTTGTTCCTTTTTCTCTCATTTTCCTTCTTTGTCATTATGCTCTACTGTCTGGGAGACTTCAACTCTGTGGTTCAACTCTTTTATTAAGTTTTTAGTTTTTTCAACATGATTTTAGTATCTAATTGTTCCTTTTTGTTCCCTGACTCTTCCCTTTTTTTATAGAAGATTTTTATGTTTTCTCTTTTCAATTCTGATGCATCAGTAATAGAATTAATTTTAAAGTTTGCTTCTCCTTGCAGAGTCTGTTTCAGCCTGTGGTAGAACTTGTCAACTTTGAGCTTCATCAAAGGGTGATCCGGTGGACCATTTGTAGGGGAAACACGGATGTCAGTATCCTTAGATCTCTGCTCTTGGGCTGGTCAGAATTCCCCTCTTTGCTCCCTTCATCACTTCTTCAGATGTTTTCTCTGGAGTTGTTTTCTGAGGGAGACTTCCATGACCTCCTTAACCAGGTTACATCTGCCGCCCAATCTGATGGTCTCATAAAATGGTGTATCTCATCTTTGACGCTCTTAATACAGTTGTAGTTTTACACCTATCTGTGTGATTACATGGTAAATGCCTCATCTCTCACTTAACTCTACATTCCGTGAGGATGATTATGTCTGTCACTTCAGACTTCATCCTTGCTACCCAGTACAGTGTATGATTCCTAATGTGTGTTAAATGTTTATAAATTAATACTTAATGAATAAATGAACAAATGAATGAGTGAACAAGCAATCTCCTTTCAGTCTTCACAGGATGAATCATTTCCATTTTACAAATGAGGAAATTATGACAGAGCCTGGATTCAGCTCTGGCAGGTCTCTCTACTGTCAAAACCAGTGCCATTAGCTCTTTATGTGACCCTAGCTTGTTGGACATAGTTCCTCTTCTCTTGTTAAAAGGGGGATAATCCTGGGGCTGGCCCCGTGGCCGAGTGGTTAAGTTCGCGCGCTCCGCTGCAGGCAGGCCAGTGTTTCGTTGGTTCGAATCCTGGGCGCGGACATGGCACTGCTCATCAGACCACGCTGAGGCAGCGTCCCACATGCCACAACTAGAAGAACCCACAACGAAGAATATACAACTATGTACCCGGGGGCTTTGGGGAGAAAAAGGAAATAATAAAATCTTAAAAAAAAAAAAAAAGGGGGGGGATAATCCTGCACTATCTTATCTCCTTTGGCTTCTGCAAGGAGCAAATGAGGTACTGAAAAGCGTTTTTATTAATTTTGAAGCTTGGTATACATGTTATACATCATTATTTTGGATAACAGAAATTCTATTAATATATTTTAAATAAATCTTGTTTTTTAGGTGTGAGGAGGGGGATA